TCCCACCTCTTTTTCAAAATTTCAAAATTTTGAAAATTTCAAAATTTCAAAATTTTGAAAAACATTCTATATATTCTCCTCGTCTTGTTTCGGGAAATTCCGCAGCCTAAAAAGCTCTTACGTTCGCAGGATCCAGCAGCTGAGAATGGAGAGGTACGGTGTTGAGGAAGCTGAGGGCTGCAAGACGCCAAAGCACCGAGAATGCCAGATTCCGGTGGCGTCAGAGTGTCCGCCTCCTCCAAGGAAGAAATCGTACGGTGGAAAGAAGCAGGATCCGCCCAAGAACGGCTATTTCCAGCCACCTGATCTCGATGCTCTGTTCGCCCTGCCGCCTAGAGGTCAAGCTTGTGCTTAATTAATAATTTAGACTCTGAAGCCGTCCCTCTGTTTCCGTTCTTGATATTTGGTTCCAAGTAGGTATTAAGTTTTTTGATGTACATATATGATCAGAGTAATATTTCCACGAAGATTCCACTAAATCTGTGAAATTAAAAATGATTTCCTGTTTTTCCTTGTTGATGGTTCTGGTTCATTAGTTTTAAAAGCAGAAATGCAGAATAAAGGAGAACAATTTAGTCACAAACTTGAAATTAGTATTCGGAACATGAGTAAAAGATTATAGCTATAATAATTTAAACAACACCAAATTATATAATTATATCCATTAATATAGCGGTAAAATCTTTATTCAAATATTTAATAATTATATTTTTATAATTTAATGGAATTTGGACCACAAAAGTACACTTATGATTGTAATAATATGAAATTATGCACCTGTCATTGTTTTAAATTTACCAATCGATGATGGATTTTAATATGAAAGATAATGATTGGACTTGACGGCTCAAAGCGAATAGCTGTCACCCCGCAAAGCTGCAATTTGCAAAAAAATGAGTGAATGAGCAGATTTTGAGCTGGTTGCCAGTACAGTGTCTATACTGTCAGAGACAATTAGACATATAGTATTATATTATTTGGGGAAAGGAATCCAATGACAATGATGATCAAATAAAATACAGTATCTCACAAAATCTTGATTTTAGCACTGCAAACAGTAGACTCCCCCATTCACTCAAAAAATCTGTAATATTCCGAATCGTACGTCGCGACGAAAGTACGAGTTTATCTGTATATACGTATGAAAATCAATTATCATTAATAATTTAAATTTAAAATTTTAAAGGTTTGCGAATTAAATTTTCAAATTTAATAATTCGTTATTCAGTTTTAATACTTAAATTTAGTTAATTGAAAATCTAACTCTTAATGGCTATGGGAAAAAATTATCTTTCCCTTATAATTTCTCATGTTCAAAGAGAAAAAGATTATAATGTTTGTGTGTCTAAAGTTTTCAGGGTATCAAAAGAATTATTTTATTTATATGTAAAATTATATTTTTTTTGTATTAATCTCTTGATATTTGTTAATCACATTGAATTCATATTAATTTAGAATCGAATCGCGTCATATCTCATTTTAAGAGAAACTCTCTCAATACTTATTTCTCCATTCGCAAAACTTGAACTCGAAATTTTATTTAAAAGAAATCGAATTTCTTTCATTTGAACCAACAGATCGTTGGTTATGTAAAACCATATTGAACATAACCCAATGTAATAATTCAATAATTAAGAACTTGAGATTATAAGTTAAAAATTTTAAATTCGAGTTTTGAGTTAAGTGAAAAAATATTTGGGAATAAGAGACAGTTATTTATATAATCCATAATACGTTAAAAAAAAAAAAAACAAACATATTGAACATTATAATTAGTGAAATTATGAATCTCACGTCATTTAATGTAGACTTAGTGAGTGTGCTTTTTATGAATTCAATTATTAATAATAATTTAAATTTAAATTTTTAAGGGTTTGTAAACTTTAATTTAAAAAATTGTAAGGCTAACTAACGAGTTTTAACACCATATAAGTTCACATTGTATTATTAAGGTCATGTAAATTCTGACATTTTTACTATAAATAGTTAGTTAAGATATTTAAAATATTAATATATAAATTAATTTAAATTTGTTATATAATAAATATTAACTATTTTATTATTTATTAATTAATAGATATAATTATTAATTATTTTTAATAATTAAATTAAATATATTTAGTATTTTAAAATTTAAAAATATATGTCTTCATAACATTTGGACGAGTCATCATAATCTTGACTTATTGTGTGATTATAGCCATGTATAAGTGTATTAAGCTACACAAATTATATTATTGGTGCCTAATGTGATTGGTTTTTTTAATTATTTTTAATAATTCATTATAATATTTAAAAATATTAATTT